ATAAAAAAATAAATTCATTCATGTATTCATGCGACAAATATTTATTGAGTGCTTATGAGAGGTACGGTGTTGGGTGAGGTGCTATATTTGATTTTTCTTTTGAAAAATCGAGTTTATACTTTACTGTAAAGCCATATCCTGTCATAATAGATAGGAAAAGCTCATCCTTTTGAACATACTTATGCTTTTTTCCATTATTTTACTGTAAGCTTTATTTATTTATGTCAGCGGTCCCTGAGAGAATATAGTCCTAGGAAATACTCCGCAGGGGGGTCTTTTATTCAGCTAATTTTAAAGGTAAATATTTTTCTCTTTTCATTGAGTTTAAGGGAAGGAACAACCATTGTATTTAACAACATTTAATGCTCACTATTACAAAAATTACAAACGTAGTAGTCAAACTCTAATTACACAGGGCTAATTGGTTCCACTACAAATCCATGCCCTCCAAATGCAGGAGGACCTCCTAGTTGGGTGATAGTCTTTTATTCACCCCTAATTGACTCACTATTACATTTCCACAGTAATATGCAATAAGAAATAAGTCTTTCTTATTCTACTCACGGTCGCAACCTGCCTACCTCTCTTTTGACTTTATACTTAGAACACTAGGGCTAAATTCCTTTTGTTCCACCTCAAAACCCTCATGCTTCTGTCTCAAGAATCTTTCCTTTGCCTTTATCCGGGATGCTTCCATCTTCTTGAAGACTCCATTTCATCAATTTAGCCTCTCCCTTGCATTTTTAATCTCCCTTCCCTTCAGTGGAGTCTTCTCCTCTATTTCTGAAGTGGGCTCAGGTTTTCCTATACTAACAACATTACTTGCCCTCTACTATGCTATTGCTTTGATACATCTAACTCTCCTTCCTCGTCACCACCCGACCTATGAAAAAAGAAGTCTGTCTTCACTGCTTTCCATGTACATCACCCCACACTCTTCAAACCCATGCATCCTGGCTTCCACTTCCCAAAGATAATCAAGGAAAGCCAGGCATCAGATCCAACGGCATCTCCCTCATTGCACCCCGCCCCTGTGGGGTGTGCTGTATGAATAGAGTGTGAATGAGGTAGCTCCCTTTTCCAGCTTCCACGATGCCGTACTGTTTCCACCATTTTTCTCCAATTGCCCCTTATTTACTATTGTTCTACTCTTCTTTCTCTTTTCCCATCCAACATGTAGACATCCTCCAAGGATCCTACCCCTACCCTTTGCTTCTTCTCGCTCCATTTTGTTTATTGGCCATTCCTGAGACATCAAAACTGCTCCTAAATAGATAACGTACTAATCTCTTTGTAACTCCAGCCTCTCTCTGAAGACCAACACCTGTATGCCAGTCCCTTCATTTGGACAAACCTGTCACGCCCAAAATGAAGCTTCTTTTTTCTCCTCTTCCTCATCCTCCTCTGAACCTTCTGACAATGACCCAATCATTCTCTCAGCTGAGCCTGATAATGACCTTTGATTTCCCTGCTCAGTCTCCAGATTAGTTCTGCACTCTGTCCCTCGAGTCGATCTCTCTCCTCTTCACTCCCACTGCCTCATTTCCTCTTACCCCTAATTTGACTAGAGTCTCTCTGGTCTCCCTACCTGCAGTCTTTCCTCATTTCATTACATCCAACACGATGCTTCAAGATCATCCCCCTAAAGCACAGATCTGGTCCTGTCAACCCTCCTCCTCAGAAACCCTCCATGGCTCCCTGGTCCTTAATGAATAAAATCCGCATACAAGTTGCTCTACAACCTTGAAAGAACCTCTCTTTCTCACCTCATTACCTCTTTCATTACATCTCTTGGCATTCCCTGTGCTCTAGCAAAAGCACACCAGTCTTTGTTTCCCGTGCAGGCACACACCTTCCCACCACTAAGCCTTTGCTATGTGTTCCTCCCCCAAGTGTGCCCTTCCTTCCTTGCCAGTCCAAATGCCACCTGTATAAATCCAGATCGGCGGCTATCTCCTCCAGGTAACCTTCCCTGATTCTTTCATTTGAAGTTAGTATATAACCTGGGAACTCCCACAGCACTGCAGGAAGATGGCTTTTTCAGCACTTAACCATTCTCCACCATTTTTATAGTTAGTTACATGCACCCTCTCTCTCTCTCCTTCCAGGATATGAACGTTCTCTGGGCAGGATCTAAGTCTCCTTATTCCTCAAATATTAAGCTCTCCCAACATTTCCCAAGCCCTATTCAAAGGTATGTATGTAGTGCCTGACAATGTAATAGGCAATTAACAAATATTTGGAAGTTAATGATGGAAACCCAGAGGGTTAACTGTGGACTTCAGGCTTGAAATTATGTCAATTCTAACAACAATTACTTTCTCTTTGTAGACTACAAGTCCCATCTCTCCCCATGGTGCCACAGTTTATTCTTTTTGGCCCCAGAGGTCAATTTTCAAATGTCTTTTACTTCCAAGTCTTGAAAAACAAACTTCTTTGAGAGACACAATAATAAAAAAGAAAAGCATTAATACTACTTTAAGTGAAGAAAACACATCAATGCAAAACAAATGGCTGGCTGCAGGCTACAGCAAAAGGTATAACTGTTTATCAAGCTGAATTACAGCATTCAACCTTACTAGTCCAGCATTTAGAAAAGCCAGGCATTGCATTTAAAAAATTATCACACTTGCATTAGAAAGGAAATCACTAATTCCTGAGTCATCAATTGTGTTGTTATATAATTCTTTTTCTAAACAGGCTATTTACCTTGGTGATGCCTAATATTCCTAAACTTTCTGGTAAGTGTTTACATCTCTAGGTTTTACTTGCAAATATAAAGACAACAACTTAAAAAAAAACCAAAACCTCTTACAATGCCTTTTAAATTCCTTAAGTACTTTTCTCAGAAAGAAATTGGCAGAACCAGCAAGGGAGTAAAGAACTAAGATTCAAAACTCATTTTTATAAATCTATCCTTAAGTCTTGGATGAGCTCCAACAACCTCACATTAAAATTTTAGAAGGCTTGACTTGAAGGACATGGGGAAGTTTAACATCCACATTTTCAGGAGCACCTGGTCTATATATCATCATTAATTAAGAGAAGATAAATGGAAAGAAAAAAAAAACATGTGGATAGCCCTAGTTTTATTATTTTCAATGTAACAATGATATGTAACCTTTGCTAAAACAAAACAAAATTTTTAAAGAAGAGAAAGAAACCCCTGATGTTACTGTGTTGTATTAATACATTTACTTGTGTAGTCATGACTGCTACGGGCTTTTCAAAGAGGATCGGGGAGGCCAGTTTGGATTCTGACAGCAATGCAGTAGAATTAAAGGTGTTATGGTTCAAATATGTCCTAAGCACATTAATCTAGTCACACAACACTTTGATAAAGAAGTATCAAGCTATTAAGTTAAAGGCGCATTTATTGCCACAAATACCACAGGAGAAATACAAAGGCACTGGGAAGTCAAACTGCAGTAGACACTCATACGAATATACTATCTCCCTTCCTCTCTGTCCAATCCCACACAAGCCTATCCTTATTACGCAGAGACAATTAAACAGCTATAGACTCTAGATGCAGTTCTGTATCCTGGTTCCCACTGGGTGACTTATTTCCAGCCTAACATTTTCCAAATTCCCGACTAGCAGGCTACGTTGGCTAGGAAAGCAGACTTCACCCACCCGGGACCCCATCACCTTGGGTCTTAGGGATTTCAGTGTCTGAATGACACATGGCACCACCTAGCCATTGTGAAAGCTGGGAGAGTGGATGTCAATAGCAATAGAAATAAAGTATCCCTTTTCCGAAGGAAAACACCCTGCCTGTGTGAAGATAACCAAGGGTGTACCAAACATTTCTCAGTACCATCATTTTCTTCTTTTTAAAGTCTCCCCACCCACCTCCCACCACCACCACCACCAAATATCTCTATACACACCTCCAGAGTTCATTCTACAGGAACCAACATGAAGACCACCCATTCTTCAGCCATTAGGTTTCCAGTGTTTAAATGTGGAAGGGGAAGGTCTAGTTGACATTCAAAGTTGTGGGGATTGAGAGAGGAATGTGGCCATTAAAGACCCTTCTCCTTCAAGTCAGACAAGAGATAAACAATAGAAACTGCAGAGTCAGGGCCTCTAAGACCCTTACAGAAGAGGGGCTGAGGTGAAAGGTGTCACAGGATGGAAGCTCCCTTCAAAATCAGGGACGCCAGCAAGCCCAGAGGGGTAACCATGATCCTATTTCACTGCCATGCACGCAAAGCCACATGCACACTTCCACATCCCCATGTCAAGAGGCCAGAGAAAGGGGCAGTGAGAATCTTTACACCCGGCCGTCCACATGCAAGACCAGAACACAGACTGTACTCAAGAGTTGCAGGGTCAAAAATAACAAACACTGTCCCATAGTCAGCGGTGACAGCAAGTCAGGGCACCAGCAGATGTGTGGGTCTGAGCGCAGTTGGGGGAGCGTGGATGCAATCACACGAGTACACACAGTCTCACACGGGATTTTACAAATCCACCCCTACCCCACTGCCTCCCTCCACACTCACAGACCAAGTGCATCCTGCCTACTTCATCGTTGCCATCACCACTCTCTCCCGGAGAGTCAGCAGAGAGATGAGGAATCCTAGCGGGGATTCCTGGAAATGTCATCCCCCAGCACCTTTGGTCCGCCACCCCCAATCCCCTTGGCTGTATCTTTTACTCACACACACACACACACACACACACACACACACACACACACGGTCCTACCATGTCTGTCATCAGGCCTGCCCGCTGCCCCCAAAGCTCTGCATCTCAACGTGCATCGGACACCAGTCGTCCCTACCTTCAACGTCCCCTTTCACCGCTCCGTTGGCTCGATGGCTAAAGGAACTGCCCGCTGGATGTCACCGGCTGTCCCCGCTCACCAGCACTATTGTTCCACGCAACCCCTCTCGCACCCGGGGGCGCCCTTCGGCGAGGAACCGGGCTCCGTCGGGGGCGGCATCAGCGCCGGGCACCCCCATTCACCCACCCCTCCCTGGCGGTGGTACCTTGCCTGACAGCTGGGCTCGCGGGCCCGCAGGAGCAGGCGGCGCTAATGACAGCGTTGGTGCCAAGCCTGGGAATAAAGCTGCGCTCCAGCCGCTCCTACCTCCAGCGCCACCATCTTCTCCCGGCGCCGCCGCTGCCGCCGCCAGGACCGCAGCCGCCCTCGCCCAGCTCCGGCTAGGGCTCCGCAGCCGCTGCTCGGGCCCCGCTGGTCCCGCGGCCCCACCCCCTTCTCCTCACCCTCCCGCCCCTCGTGACGCGCGCCGGGGCCGAGCCGGCCGGCCTGCGCGGGAGGGTGCGCGGGGGGCAGCGCGCGCGCACACGCCGCGAGCTAGTTGCGCCCCTGCCTCCCACGCCCACCCGCGTGCGCGCGCGGCGCGAGCCCGAGGCGGAGGGGCGGCGTCCTCCTCCTCCGAGCGCGGGTCGCGGCGCCCCAGCTCCGGCGCGGGTGGGCGTGAGGGGCTCTGGCGCCCTTCGCTGCCGCTCGCGCTCGGGCTCTCGCCTGCGCTCCCTCCTCCGGCTCCGGGCCGGGCGCACGGAGCGGGAAAGGTGGCCGCCTCCCCGAGGGGACCGACAGGGACCTCCACCCTCCTCGGCCGAAACCCAAGCAGGTCTCCGGTTTCTGAATTCGCAGCGGTGGCCAACCTCTGCGCGCAGGAACAGACCGCGCTGCCGGACCGCGAAGCCGGACAGCGGCGCCGGCTCCTGCAGTCTGTTCTGAGCTCCTAGTTACTTCCGAGCTTTCCCGCTTCCCAGGCCCTTTAAATAGTGCCTGCACTTCTCGGCCTAGCGGCCGACGGTGTCTCTGAAACGCGCTGCACTTCTGCGTGTTCTCTGCTTGGGGGCGACCTTGTCAGGTTTGGGCCGGAGCAAGGTTGGCCGCGTTTGCAACCTTCGAGGGGGACTGCCCGGTCTTGCGGGAAAAGCAGACAGCCTCTGGGTGATGATGCCGGGCAATGCTACGCTTGGTTTTTCTGCCCGCTTCTCAATTCTGGTTGATCAGAACTTCAAGTGTTGGAAGCTGGCTTAGGGTGTCAGCCCCAGATATGGCAGGGAAGGAGGGAGGGAACGAAGGAGGGAGGGGACCTTTGCGGCAGGGACCAGGTGGCAGGTGCTGTGCACTAATGAAAAGCAGTGGGCTGGACAGGCCTCGGGAGACCCGGGTGCTGGCGCCAGCCTCACCTGTAATTGACGGTGTGGTGTGAGCCAAGTCATTCCCCCTCTTCGGGACACAGATTTCTCAGTAATAATAAGTTTTATTTTCATAAAGCCTTAAACTTGACCAAGCCCTCTTCATACACATATGCTCATCTACTAAAATGAAGATAAGCCTTGGTTACCCAGATCCTTTGGGAGGTGGACCTTTTACCAGACCGTGTTTCCAGAAAATTTTAAGCATGATGGCTCCAGAAAAATCTAGGGGCGTAGCCTGAAACATTTTCAAAGTCTTGCATTTTAGCTTTAAAATTCGTATGAATGTTGCATTCTACTCCATAATCTTTTCTTCTTTTTTTTTTT